GCGGTCGAGAATTCTTACCGGTCCTGTCCTCGTGTGGGAGTGGGATTGTGGCACAAGCTCGATGGTTGCGATGACACACCCACACATTCAGATCAGATCATCCCTGTGCGCCTCTTTGCACCTGTTGCTGTCTTCTCATCCGTCCTCCTCGCGCTGGACAGAAATCCTTAAAAAAGTGCTGCTGTCTCTCTGGCTCATTTGTGACGGACCTGCGGCTGCCTACCCGCTGCGGTGCATGGCGGTGCCCGTCAACAGAAAGAGAAACTTCAAGATGGCCTGCAGAGAGGAAGAGAGAGAGTGCAAAAGCGCAGTCTATATGATCCGCCAGGCACACACACCTTCGGTCACATCCTTCCGCTGATGGCAGCGGCCGTAGGTGGTGTCGTTGACCAGCTGCCCTGGGCGCTGAAAACGGCCACCACGCGCGAAGGGCGTTAGGAGCGCCATGCCGATGGCGCACCCGGCCTTGAGTGAATGCGGCGGACGAATGGGTCGACAGAGTGCCTGCCGGGCAGCGAGTCGGGCAGCTCTGCTGCCAAATGACAAATCGAAGGCAAACAGGAAAGCAGAGAAGAGGGAGCGTCGTTGAAGGAGAGAGAGCTCAGTTCATGACGAAGAAAAGAGAGCAGCGGACGCCGTCTCCCCTGTCTCGCGTCGAGAATTCTCGCCGGTTCTGTAGTCCAGCTCGAAAGACATGGAGAAACCGTGTTTGGAATGTAATTCTTCACACTCTCTCAGCGAAGTCGACCCTAGGGTGCTGCTTGAAACCGCTCCTTCTCCCCCCTAGATTCAAAGCTCGCAATTTTCTGAGAGGCGCCGTTTGCGCGGATCTGCACCGCGCCGTGCGTCCAAGGTGGGACGATGCAACGGTCTACAATGCGTTCCATTAACCGTCGACTCTTTCCTCTCATCCACGTCCGGCACATCCGAACGGCCCTCAGATCAGCCACCCCGACTCATCCAAAGAAGAGGCCGCAGACATCAGATGCAACCGCGACTGACCTGTGGTCGCCCTATCGCTTCGAAGATCTGGGTGGTGGCATCCATCCCGTCCTCATCGAAGCGATGCGCGCGCAGGGCATCGACCGGCCCACCACCATCCAGCAACGCTCCTACGACCTGCTTGCAGAGGGCCGGGACTGCGTGGTGGCGTCGGAAACGGGCAGCGGCAAGACGCTTGCCTACCTGCTGCCGCTGCTGAACCAGCTGTATCACGTGCACGACTGGGTGGAGGCGTCGAGGGCTGCGCAGGACGGGCAGGTGAACCCTCTGAAGGAGCTGAGGCCGTGGGTGGTGCTGGCGCTCACACGGGACCTTTGTGCACAGGTGAGGGAGAGAGGGGGACAGAAAGAGGCAGACAGGGCGGGGGCGTGTCTGTGCATCCATCAGCCTGTGTTGTGTGCAGATATGTCAGATGGCTCAGTCGATTGACCCGCTGGGGCGGCTGTCCATCCAGACACTCGTCGAGCTGCCCAAGTTCCCACACTCCAGGTACGTCACACGTCACACAAAAGAGTACACACACCCACCAGTGCGCCTGTCTGATTGGTTCCACCATCAACAGGGCGGGTGTCGACCCCTTCCGCGTCCCTACCGGACCGTTGCCGAAGCATCTGCGGCACCTGCGGGGCATCGACCCATCCCACAGTGTGCTCCAGGACCTGTCGCTGCAGCGACAGCCACAGCCAGTCATCGCGGCCCCGAGGATCAGGTGGGGCGCCGTCGACCTGGTCGTCACCACGCCCATCAAGTTCCTGCAGGACCTCCTCAGGTGCGCGTGGGCATGAGTGGTGAGTGGGGTGTGGACACCTGACAGACGGTTGTTTTCTCTTTCTCTCTGTGTGTCCAGGTTTGTGGGCGAGAGTGTGTATCCGTCATGTCTGGTGTTCGATGAGGTGGACGAGCACTTCCAGAGCGTCACCAGGAACCTCATCTTCGACATCGTCAAGGTGGGCCACTCACACAGATCCACATGACGCTTTTCTCTCATAGGTGATCTCTTGCTTATTGTCAGCACCTGCGCCCCCGTCCGCCCATCCGTCAGTATGACGAGATCCGCCGGCCGCTGGCGCCACTAGTCCCCACGCAGTTCGTCTTTGTGGGCGCCACACAGCCAACTGGGGGATGGTGCACCACTGGCGCAATGATCATCGAACGGTGACCATCCGACCCATCCTCACAGATGCAGATGGACAGACAGGAGAGGCAAAGATGTGTGCGTGTGTGTGTGTGTGTGTGTCAGGTTCCACGTGGCCGAGCAGCTGTGGACGGCGGGTCTGCACGCCATCTCGCCTTTGGTGAGTCAGCGGTGGCTGGAGGTGCCGGCCGACAAGAACATCTTCGAGCAGAAGCTCGACATGCTCCTGACGGTCCTCAACCAGATGCCAAAGGACAGAACACTCATATTCACCACTTCTGTCGGTACGCTTCCACATAATCACGCGAAGATCAGCACGATACACAGAAGCATATGTGTGTGTGTGTGTGCTTGTAGGCACGTGTCGGCGTCTGTATCACTTGTTGAGTGAGGGCGGGTGGCCGGCCGTGTCGTTCCACCGCAGCATGACCATGGACCACCGAATGAGATCTGCCGACAAATTCTTCAGGTTAGTAGACACGCCCCCTCCACCCTTGCAAGACACACACATTGATGCTTCTGATCCTTGTGTGTGTGTATGCGATGTGTATGTCAGGGGTGAGGCGATCGTGATGGTGGCCACCAACCTGGGAGGCCGTGGCGTGGATTTCTTCCAGGTCGACCACGTCATCAACTTCGACTTCCCAAATGACGCTGGCATCTACCTCAGCAGGTAGCCAATGGCCCTCCCTCAGTCCGCACACACATCCACAAGTGCACGTGTGTATTGTATTTCCTGCACCATCAGAGTCGGCCGCACAGGCCGTGTCGGGCGCAAGGGTCACGTGACCAATTTCGTGGACCCCCAGCACGCCCACCTGGCGTCGGCCATCCTGGAGAAGATAGAGGAGGGCAGCAAGATACACTCGACCTTCTCGCGCAAAAGGGCGTTCAGGAACAAACTCAGAGGGAAGATACAGGTCTGTATTGTGCACACGGATGGAGCCTGACACACCCACGTGCACACATCGATCTGGCTGCTGCTGTGGGTGTTCCAGACGGCGGCATTCTCTGAGATGAAGGCCAAACTAATGGACAAGATGCAGCAGAACGTCAAAAGGAGCATCGTCCCGACACCCTCCAACCGACCCCCAGCCATGGGCCGCAAATCCACGAGAGCAGCGCGCTCCGCTGCCGACAATGCAGCGGCTGCCGCAGATGACGATGACTGGGAGTCCGTACGTCGCACCCTGCAGCACGAGCAGGTGCTCGCGGCATCCGGCATCGACATGAGCGGCCGTGACGGTGACGATCAGGGAGGGGAGGGGCAGGAGAGCGCCCCTGGTGGTGGCAGGCCTGTCCGCAAGAAAAGAGAGAAGGCAGATGCAGACCAGCCACCGCAAGAAGTGGATAAGTCAGGTTTGATCCATCGGCCGCGGAGAGGCGAATCTTCGCAGCAGCTCTCCGGCCACGTCGATCTGCTCGGCGCTGCCCAGTCCCTCCCACAATCACCATCAACAGCAGCAGGCAAGAAGAGACCTAAGGGCGCCATGCAGCCGCCGCGCACAGAGGTGAAAGATGCGGCAGAGGAGCCGCCATTGCCGCCATGGCACTCCGCCTTTGCCGATGATGACGGCTTTCATGCTGTCGAGAAACGGCTGGGAGAGAGGGAGAGCGTGGCAGGGCGAAAGTACGCCAGCAAACACAGGAGTGGTGTGGGCAGGGAGGAGGAAGAATCTGACATTCTCGACTCTGATGAAGAGGTGAGCAAGTGCACGCACACCGCATGGCCACATGCAGGAGCATCATTCTGGTGTCCTGATGCACACAGGATCTGCGCGACATCTCCCTCGCCGCCCCCACATCACCATCACCGTCACCATCCGGCACAGACGATACCGATGACGAGTCGCCAGACGCACCCATCGGCAATCACGACTTCGACATAGCAGCCGGCCACGAGCCACGCGATTCACAACAGCACCAGTCATCCCCCGGCCAGCTGCTCGGCCACATCACTGTCGTCACGGGCAGCGACGATGATGACAACGATTCCATGACGGACAGCGATAGTGATGAGGATGGTGACGAGGGTGACGGCGAGATGGGCGGCTTGCCGCTCAAGTACGGCGAGACGCTTGCACGTGAGCGTGGGCGTGGATGGGGTGGCTTGGCGAGGCTGAGGGACGTGCAACACGATGGAAGAATGGCGGTCATGCCGTGGGCAAGGGGGGCGGGGGGCGTCGTGCAGCTGCAAAAGAAAGGTAGGCGTCATACGAAGGCACTCGCATCGCATATTGTTGGTGTCATTGCATTCGCACGTGTGTGTCATTGTGTGCAGAGGCATCCCCACCTCATCCGGCGGCCCCTGCCGGCCTGGACGAGCTGCGCGCCCACCTGCTGGAGAGCGACTCGGACGATGACGAGGGCGGCGATAGTGACATGTACAGCACTGCCGTCATACGACGCACACCACCGCCAGAATGGTACCAAGTGACTGACCAAAGAAAGGCCATGCTCCCTGTGTTTTGGTCGGTCGACGAATGTGTGTGCGCTATGCCACTGCAGGGCCGAGAAAGAGGCCAAGACCCCTCCCCGCCCCTGGTCAAACCCATCCATGACGGCCACCCCCTCACCCCCACCAGCCATCAAGTGGGACCAGCTCAAGAGGAAACCCACACCAGCCCTGCCCAGCAAGCGTGAGGGCAAAGACGTCTTCCAGTTCGGCACGCGGCCTGTCGACGGCCCTCCGCCACAATCGGCGCTGTCGGCTGGTCTGGGTCGGCTGCCGCGGCGGGCCAAGAACCTCAAGAAGGGCACCGCTGGCAGCCTGCTGCGCAACTACGATGAGTTCGATGGCGGCGGTGGTGGTGGTGGTGGTGATGGGGAGGTCAAGCTGTGAACTGTGGTGGCATTGGGCCGGCCACTCAATTAGTGGTGTTTGCTGGCGGTGTGCTGGGCGTGGAGGATTCCCTCTATCAGTCGGTCTGATGCTGCCGGAGATGGATTAATCAGCTGAAAGGTGAGGGCGAGTGAAGAGGAAGGATGTGGGCAGGGGAGAGGAGGAGGGAGGCAGCCCAGATGATTCTAAAATCAATCAATAGGTCGAGATTGAGGATGGGTGTGCTGAGTGAATGCATCCGTCCACTGACAACACGTGGCACAAATGATGGGCAGAGACACACAGACAAGACAGAGAGACAGACAGACAGACAGCCGCACAGCTAGACTGCATGATGTGAGCAGCTCAGGTCAGCTCACACTTGGTGTTGGTGTGTTGGTCATCGGTGTGCGTTGCAGGCAGTAGCTTCACGTGTGGAATGGAAGACCCTGAGCCTGTGTATGTATGCGCATCCGTGTGCTGGTGCGGACAGTATAGTGATGTTCTCTTGTGTGAAGTGCTAAGTCTGTGCTCGATGGACGACGGCATGGCATTGATTGGCGATCTCAAGGTGGGGTTGTAGCCGACGTGGCGACACGCACATGAGACACGTACTTAGGTCGCTACGTATTGCACTGTCACGCATCCGGCCTAACAGGACAGCAACCATTGGTCGTCCCGCCCTGCCTGTCTCTATGGCCTGTCTGTCTCACGTGTGTGGGGATGGATGGATGTGGATGGCATCGAGTACGGCCCACAAACGCACAGCACAGAGCCCAAGACACAACACACACTGAAAAAGAAACCCGCCACTCACCAGCCATGCAGCCAAATCCCCCCAGTCACTAACCGCCTTCTTCCCTGCCTTGCCATCCAACACCTCATGGCATGGCAACACCCCAGGAAAATAGACCCACGGAAAAAGAGCAGCCCGTCTGTTCTCCATTCTCTATTCCTCACCCATTGCACTATGCCGTCCTGGCTCACATGTAAGTGTCGGATGCAACCACGGCATCGATCTATGGCTTATACACAGACGGTAGCCCAACACACAGGGTACAGCGACAAAGAGACTCATAGCTCGCCAGCCTTGCAGGCAAAACTGCTGTGGACGACACGAAATGGAGCAACCCGAAAAACCAGCCACTTCTACCTGTTATTCGTACCGTGAAAGCCCTTTTACCGCCATGCCCCCATCCCCTCCTTACCCTCATGCCCCCAAAGCCGCCTTCAGGATTAGCTCTTGCTCCAGCCAGTAATTGATGTCTCCATGGTGCGCTCCGTCTGCTCCCTCCACTCGCTTGCCATAAGCCGCTGCGTGCAAAGGGGGCGGTGCATCCTCGGTGTGGGTCTCGATGTCCATCTGGAGAATGTCGATGAGGCCATATTGCATCCAGGTATACCGGTACCATGAAGGATTTTCCAATGCCGTCTCGAGCAGCTGTGTCACCTTCTCTCTGGTGTTCGGAGCGGCGTGGCTGCCGTGAAGGGATGGCTTTTTGAGCAGCTGTGTCTCCAGTACTGCCGCCCTCTCCCGGTGATAGATAGGGAGCCAGTGCCGATGGTGGACTCCTGGTCTTGTGAGCGTGAATGCTGCCGAGTCGTAAGTCGGGACGCCCGCCGCGCAGGCCTGCTTCAGCATCTTTACCCACTTGTTTTGCTCCAGGGCGGACGAGCATTGTAACACCATCTTGTGGCCTTCTGCGCGACTATATATTTGGTGGAGACTGCAAGACAACACGACAGCAGAAGAGAGAAACCAAATTTCAAATCAGCCCCACCATTTGTCGTGTCAAGATGTCTTTGTCTGCCCTTACACATCCGATTCGACAGTGGATAGATCAACGCGTCCCTCTGCTGTGTCTTCCGTGAGGCGATACTTGCGGCGGTCGTCCTTACAAGGCCGAAAGACCAGGATGGCATGGGAAAGGTTCCGATAGAAAGGCCGCTCGATCACGCACAGCTTCCTGGTGAGCTGGCACATACACAGTGTCATACACACAGACAAACACACACAAACAGAATCACAGACGCACAAAGCAGATGCCACCTGACCCTGTACCTGCACGCTCTTCCATTTCGTAGGTCTATTGGGGTTGCACCAGCCGAGGACGTCACGGTCTGCACGAAGAAGAGAAACACACCAGTGTACACAGACCTGACGCAGCCCTGCGATGCAGAGGGCTCACGAAGGATGGCGTGGAGCGGCTCCTTGACTCCGAATGCCCGGGCGAAGGCGCATGTCGAAGGGGTCGTGAAGATCCCGTATTCGGTGGACCAGGGGGGCGGCAGGTCTGGGTCCTCTTGGAAGGGGAGGGGGTGTTCGTCGTGGTGGACGGGTGGGATCTCATGGATGGCTTCCTCCTCGTCGGTGGAGAGAGGGGGCGAGGGGCGGTGGGGCTCATCCAGATCCAGGTGGGTCCGGTGCGAGGCCGACACCAAAGGGTTGACGTGAGTCATTCTGACGATGATTCACGGACGGGTGAGCCGTGAACGGGATGAAAGCACTCGAAGACCAGCGCGAGCTTGAAATTGGGGGCGATGCGGGCCAAAGCGTTCTTTTGTCGTGTGTTGGCCACCCTCAGCGATTCACCGGTCAATTCACAAGCAAGTCCGTGACCAAATGATAATCACACCCATCCACGCCGCCAGACTCACACACCAACAGCACCATGGATGAGGCGGCCCGACACGGCATAGATGAGGGGGCCATCAGCAAGGGCTTCAACAGCCATCTGGGCAATGCAGACTATGAGTTTGGTGGGTGGCAGCAGGTGGGTGGCACCCCGCATCAAGTGAGAGGGAGGGAGCGAGGGAGGGAGGCTGTGTGCGTGTGTATGCGTCGACAGGCAGACTCTCAGTGTTGTCCGTGTTTATCTGGCCAGCCTGACTGTGTGATTGATGACTCATTGCGTGATTCAAGTTGTCTGTGGTGCTGCGAGATTGAAAGAGAATGCGTCAGACAATCCACCATGCACACAGGCAGGCAGGCAGCAGACAGCCAGTCAATTGCCCATTCAACCGTGCCATCAACAATACAGCACAGCCGTGCACCCCACACCCACGCGCAGCATCCATCCACACGTGGGGAGTCGCCGGTTGTTCTCTTGACCGATCAAAAAGCTGTTCCACAGCCACCATGCACCACGGCACGCACACCCCACAGACAGCATGAGTGTGAAATGATGCACGCAAACGTCTTACCGTGCCAGCCATCGACTCACTACGGTGGGCGCCCTCATCGGTGGGCGGCGGAAAAACGTGTCGCAAGAAGTCGTCACTCGCACGATCCCCACAGAGAATGAGTATCGCGTCGTCCCGATTGTCACGGGTCAGGCCGTCGAATCCCCTTTCGTCAGCCTTGTGCGCCTTGCGGCAGCCCCACACGACATTGTGACTGAGCGCACATATGAGCTTGTCTGCGAGTTGATGCTGCTCGGAGAGTGAGAGGAAGCTGTCAGGGGTCAGTTGATAGGGGCGAGGCCCAGTGGGCGCATGGGCGACGAGATATAGGATGGAGTCCGTGAACGAAGAGTAGATGTAATACAGTCCTATTGACAGACAGTCAGGCGCACGAGAAGAGCAAACAGTGAGTGATGTGCTTTGTCTTTTCTCCGGCTTTTTTCGATTGGTCTCTCACGTTTGGTGGGCGGATCAGATTGGTAGACGGAGACGGTGGCAATCTCATCCGTGAGGGTGGCCCTCAGTGCTTCAGCCGCATCCTTCACCTACATAACGCGGCACATCACCTGGTCGCCACCATGTTGACCTTTTCTCACCTTGCCATTTGCGCTGTGGATAAGAGGAAAGAGCACTGAATCCTTTCCCCCAGCGCCAAGCAGCTGGTGGAGCGCCTTTCTCTGCTGGCCATCGAGTCGCTCGGCGAGCGCCGCCAAGGTCGCCATGTCGTCCAGCACGCGAGCCTCCTCTTGCTGACAGACAGAGGACAGCAGTCAGGTGGCACGAGTGCGACGGACGCAGTTGTACGTACCTCATTGCTCGGACATAGGGTGAGAGAATGTCGGAATGGCCAACGAGGGATCCCTTTAACTCTTCGATCCGCATCGACAGCTGCTCCGGTGGCAAGGCAGCCAACGCTCGGACCTGACATACATATCAGTCCAATCAAGCACACTGATTGACACGTCTGATCTGTGCGCCGTGCGTGTATTCTTTGGCTGGCTACAGCGCCATATTACCTGACGGCCAAGGCACCCTACAACAGTCCCTTTGGCGGCGTCGGCAAGGTGTTCACTTCCCTTCTTCATGGCCGCCGCCGCCCTTGCTGCGCCGCTGAAGGGAAGGTGCGCTGCCATCAGCGCCTCGATGGGGAGGAAAGTCAGCAGCTGCCGGTGCGACCCAACGGCCTCTCCCAAATCGTCCTGGCCGTTGGTGGTACGCTGCAGATGCAGGCAGAGGCCCGGCACCAATCTGTGGATGAGAAGGGAGAGCTGGCGGACTGCCGGTGGCCGAGAGTCAAACAGTGCCCGACTGCCGACTTGCCGCAGATCGCCGGGTGCGACGATAATGGGTAGAGAGGGAATGATGCGGCTGTTCTTGAGGTAATAGATGAGCTGAACAGTCCGCTCCCAGCTGCCGCTCCCCTCAATGATGTGCAGCAGACGCAACAGATACTCCGCACGGCCCATCGGCATCTCTGACTTGATTCCCCTCACCCAGTTGCCGAATAGTGGCACGACTATAAGTACCGCCACGTTAAAACCAACGAAGGACGCGTATATCGACACACAACGGTCAACCGCGACGCTCAGGTCACCGCTGAAGATCCCCCTGACGTGGTCGACCAGCAATTCCTTCCAATTGATCATCAGCATCATCACCACCACCACCAGAAAGCCAACACGGCCGATGACAAAGCGTCCAGCCGCGTTAATGTTGAGGAGGGCAAACATTGTGTCCGTGATGGAGCCGCCCGGAAGCAGCCACCAGCCACCAATCACTACCCCACTCGCCAACAGGAATCCAGCCCAAGAAGCGAGCCACTCGCACGACGGCCTGAGGTCCGTGAGCTCCTTGCACGTGGCGGCCACCACAGGATGGAGGTCGAGAAGCATCACAGACACCAAAACGATGAGTGGGAATAACTTGGCAAGACACGCCGACAGGCCGCTGCAGACGGCCGTGGCGAAATGCAGCAGGAATGCCAGGGTCGTCGTGGGGGGCTTCCTGTAGACCAGCACGCCGCTGAGTCCCTTGTTGTGGATGGCATCGTCGAGGCGGCGCGTCAGATAGCCCTCGCTGATGAGATGGCAGCCGCCGCATTTTGATGTAGCCCGCAAAACACCGCAGCTCGTGACTCCGAAATTTCGCTTGAGCTCCCGTCCGACATCATCAGGCAGACGGCTCAGATGAGGCTCGATAGCGGTCATCGTCCTGGAATCCGCCTGGCCGGCCCGCTGATCAATCTGACTCTCACACGGTAGATCACGCTTATATCATGGCCTGTTGACTTTTTTTCGGTGCTATGAGTCCACGGGCTAGCAGCAGCGGTTTCAGGGAACACCCTAGGCGGCCTGACTATCTGTCTGGGCTGCACAGCGAACGAGTGCACGAGTGAATAATTCTGATTGACAATCGATCTCACTGGACTCCATGGACGAAGTAGGTGGTGTGGCTGCCTGTCCGGTGGTTTGATTGAAAGCATGGATGGACAACTACATAGAAAAGGAGACATACATGCGTGTCTGAACTCGAACGACACAGTGATGAGTGCGCTGCATGCCAAGTCCGGCGTCATGCACCCAGATTGGCGTGAACTCACAGGCCCTCACTCAACGGACAAATACGGACACGCATCGTGCCAACCGGCCCACAAAGCCAGGCCAGTATAGCATGTCGTAGAGCTAATAAAAGCTCTGCACTCACTCTAACTCACTCCGGGGGCAGCAGCCGCACCTCTCTCACATCGTCAGCAAAGACGGCATCCGCCCCACACGCAGGGCAGCGCAGCTGTGCGTACCGCCTCACCTCCTCAGGCACGGGCCGCCCCTCGCCCTCCAGCCGCTCCTTCGTCGCCTTGGCTCGCTCATGCCGCGATCTCCAGTCGTGCCAGCAGCCCTCGCAGAGACACTGCTGACGGCAGGGGAAGAATGTGACGACGGGGGGGTCGCGGCACGCCACGCAGCCGCCGCCGATGCCGTCCCGCCGCTCTTTGTCCTCAAGACGGGCCTCCGTCTTGTGGGCGTCCTTCGAGAGGGCCTGCAGCTCCTGCTGCCGTGCCAGCACCTGATGCTTGAAGGCCTCAATGGCATCGGGCGATGAAAGGGAGAAGAGACGGTCCTCAGTCAACCTGATAGACACACACATACGGGATGGACCGATGAATAGATTGGTGGGTGAGAGTGTGGTTTGTATTGATGGTGTGCGCCGACCCACCTGGTAGCAGCTTTCTGTTGGAGGTCTTGGAACTCTCGCTCGAGCGGCGCAGTGGCCTTGGCGGCTTCGGCACATTCACGCTCAAGCGATGGGAGCGACGCAGACAACCTACAAAGAAAAGCATGGACCATCCATCCGTCCGTCCATCCGTCCATGTGTGTGGCTTGGTTGAGTGGCGCCTGTTTCACCCACTCACTTGTTGATGTCTCTGTTGATGCTGTCAAGCATGTGTTGCAGCTGGTCGGCGTCATCGATGGTTGATGGGTCCTCGAGCGATACAGATGCAGATGCCGGTGCAGAAGAGCTGGGTGGATGAAAGGTATACACACAGGACGTGGCCGTTTCCTTCCTCCGTTTTTTACGGTCCACCCGCCTTGTGGAGGTGGCCAGTCCGATGCGGCTCCGCTGTGTGGCCGCTGTGGGCTGTGTGCTCTTTTTGCCGGCCAGCATCAGCAGCTCCCCCAGCCGCTTTGCCTCCCTGCTGATCTTGGCGTCGAACTTACGCACCTCTTCCGATGTCGTCAAGGACAGCAACACTGCCCGGCTCAAACTGCAGACGGACAGAGGGACACACATGCATGTCGCGAATGGACACACTGCGATCCCTCCCTCCACTCGTTCGCTTACTCAGGTGTGACGTAGTGGAGTCTTCTGATGGCCTCTCTGAGCTCCTTCTGCCGGCACAGCGCACGCTGATGTGAGGCCTCCAAGCCGGCAACAGTCGACTGAAGCCTGATGGGTGGATCGATGGATGGCATACAAATAGATGGATGCACGCGCTCTTGTCCTCTGGCTGGCCAATTGTGTGTTGGTTGACCTGTGTTTCTCTTTGACGGCCTCACGCACGGTAGCCCGAAGCTGATCAAAAGGCGAAGGAGTACCCTCATCTGCCGCCATGCCTGCCTGTTTTTGCAGTGCAGGGTCCTCTGCGCCTTGTGCGTGCTGCACATGGGCTGAGGACGACTCGCTCTCAACACACCTGACCCACTCATCCACACATGACAGGATCACACATGAGGGGGCGATGCCTCGTAAGCTTGTTGCTGCGTACGGTGAGTCGCCCGAGGTGTCGGGTGTCGATGGCGCTGTGGCGGCGGCATCGCCAGAGGGTCCCGTCAGCTTGCCTTTCTTCTTGTTTTTGGCTTTGGCTTTGGACTTGTTCTTCTTGCCGCCTGGGCCGCTGTTGGTGGTGCTGGTGTCCTTCCCATCGCCGCCCTCTAGCTCTTTGACGAGGAGCGCATCCATCCGCTCGTTCTCCCTCGACTCAATCGAATCGAAGAGCTCCAGCACCTGCAATGAAAAAAACACGTACATACGTGCACATGCACATGGAGGGCTATTCCCAGCCCACGGACCTGCTTCAGAACGTTTGTTTGCGTCGTCTTGCCGCCGCGTTTGCCGTGCTGCTGCTTGGCGGAGCGGATTCTCTTGACTGACGGCAACTGAGGAGAGGAGGCAAGACAGCAGCAAGCCAGAGATGCAGCGACGCCTCTTACGGACCTGCAGGATGTGACTCGTGACAGAGTTCTGTGGCGAGCTGCGGCTGATCTTCCCCTCGCTGTACCTGCAAGGCAACGGAATGCTCACACTGATTGCCCCGTGCCTACCATGCACACCATGCAATCAATACCTGACGAGGTCCTCCAGGATGTCAGAGCAGGTGGTGACGGAACCTTCGGGGAGGGCGATGGCGCCCTCAGCGTGCCGCACCAACAAACTGCAGACGGCCTCAGGCACGCCCTGTTTCAACAGCGACTGCAAACAGGGGAAGGAGGGATGAATGAGTAGGCCCTTGTCTGTCTGTCTGTCTATCTCGCCCATTCACTGACCTGCGAGTAGCCCTTCCCGCGGAAGGGCACGATGACGAGCTCGATCACCTTGGCGGCGTCAATCCCGTCATGTTTGACCAGAAACGTCACACATGTGGCAACAAATCCTGCCTCCACCAGTGCCCCGAGTTGATCCACCTCTGCAAAGGGCACAGCACCATTTTTGTGTCTGTGCGTGCGCGTGTGTGTTTACTGGCGAGGCAGAAAGCGACATGGAGCAGAAAGCTGAGATCGGTGATGCCCCTGTCGAGGAATCGACACTGCGCCGCCTTGGACAAGCACCACAATGCAAGCGGCGCGTCCAGCAGGCGGCGAATCGGCCCGTCTGGCTGGAGGATTGTGTCGACACGACTGTCAGGAATGCCCACAGCTGCAGGCACACATACACACAAGAATATCGAAATATCGACCCGCCCTGACACACACACAAGAGTTCGTTCGAACTTGTCTTACGGAGCTGGAGTGGAATTGGGTTCACCGCCAGCCAGGCGATGTAGTTGAGACAGAAGGTCGCCTCTAGCCTGGACAGATGAGGCGCCGCGGCATCCTCCAGCTCGCTGATATGAGACGCCGCGGCACCCTCCAGTACGCCGATGCATCGATCGATCTGTGGATAAAGGTGCTGCTTGACCGCCAAATCATACTCGTGTATCAGAGCATCGCTCCTGTCTGCACACACACACATACGCGCAAAAAGACAAAGGCAGATGGACGAACACAGGGCTTGTGGTTACATACCATTTGAGAAGACAGCTGCCGCACAAGCAGAAATGCACTCCCGCAGGCGGCCGGCCGGTTTCGGTCTTGGCATTTCAGCGACTGTACCGACCAGCTGCAAAAACAGCGACGGGTGCACCGGTGTGCGGTGGTCGGCAGGCGTGAGCACGGTGACCAAAAAATTGACCGCTGCCTCCTGCGTCCATCATACGTACGCACATAGAAGTATGGGGGAACCCGTGCGGTGTCTGTTGGTGTGTACTCGCACCTACCTCGTCAATATGAGCGTCCTCGGAGAAATTGCGCAATACTTCCAGCAGCCGCTGTGCCTCGCCGATGAAGCCCTTATGGCCAGCCAAAAGTGTGTCGCGATGCGCCTCGTCCATCTTGACCGCCTCTTCGAGGAGCATGAACATGACCGCCCCGGTAGTACTGGATAACTTGAGAGGCTCTCTGCAACCCCGAGGGCAGTCTCGAAGCATGTGACACATCTCGTCGAAGGAGCCGGCCAGAGAGAGCATCAGCTGACAGGTCCTCCGAAGCCGAACGAAACACAAGGCCAGCATCACAACGTAGGCGACGGTGCAGTCAGCTGATTCGCACCACGTCTGGAAGACGCAACGAAGGTGGGGCTCCACAAACCCAACGTCCAGCTGATGACGGACATCTTTATCGGCGGATGACTGAGTGATATACTTCCGCACGTAGAACAGCTGCTGCTCCAGCTTGCCTCTGTCAGTGGTGGTGAGCAGGGCTGACAGGACGGCATCCAGGGGTGGCAGATCCGTCGCATCATCCAGCTCGCTCATCCCTTCGACAAAGCAGCAAGATCTAGTAGCCAGATCTGAGGGAGCAGTGACGTTAGGCGACCGCTGGGTCGGCGGCGTTCCGGTTCCGGCGTTAGGAAAAGGGAGGGGAAAGGAGAGAACGAACGCCGTCCTCCGAACCCTGGACTTTAAACCCTAACCCTAGCGCTTCTTAATGATGGCATGAATGACTCATTGCACAAATGGCCGGCCATGACTTGGCACATTAATTGATTGTCTGTGGTGCTGGGAGATGGGCAGAGAATCCGTCGGAGAATCCATCAGCACTCATGATCTGGCAGGCAGCAGGCAGCAGACAGACGGACAGCCAGCCAACCATTCAACCGTGCCATCAACAACAACATCGACCAAAGAAATTGCATCCACAAGCCAGTCGATTGACGCATACACGTACGCACACTCATGCCTAAACAACAGGCATGCACCTGACCGGCACGACAGGCACACGCAGCATCCATTCATCTGTGGGTTTTCCCCGGCTGTCTTGACTTTTTCACAAAACTGTTCCAAAGGCACGCAACGTCTTGCCGTCCCATGATCGGTGGGCGGCGGAAAAACATGTCGAAAAGCCGTCGACCCATACGCGAGAAAGGAGAGACACGAGAGAGAGAGAGAGAGAGAGAGAGGCAGGGAGAGAGAGGCGGGGAGAAGAAGTAGCCTAGCGCAGCTAAAGAAGCGACACATACCCTGTCATCCCACACACACACACACACACACACATACATATAGACAAATAGCTTACCTTACAGATGGATCGGTCGACTTACACAAATATACGTAAAGCACACATACATACGTACAGCACAAACAGACATTGTGTCGCATCGCTAGGCCCAGAGAAACCACGTCAGCCGCACAGGATTGAAACGACCACCTGCAATCATCCACCGGCTATCAAGAGAGTTCCCATGGTCCCTTTTGTCGGCCGCCGTACCTGTTCTGTCTGTTTGACATGAGGGTCTATGCTTCCAGCTTGTCGCGGATGAGCGCTGCCGTTCGAGGGAAGCGCTGCTGTGTGCAACGCTTGCTGCCCGCAGGGGTCTCCGTAGTGAAGATCTCGAAGCTGAGTGTCTGGCACGTCGCGTAATCGCGACGCACGACCCACAAAGAGGCAGCGAAGTCGTCACGCGCACGCTCCCCGCAGAGAATGACTATCGCTTCGTCACGATTGTCACGGGTCAGGCCGTCAAATGCCCTTTCGTCAGCCTTGTGCGCCTTGCGGCAGTCCAACACGACATTGTGAATGAGCGCAAATCTCAGCTTGCCTGCGAGTTGATGCTGCTCAGAGGGCGAGAGGAAGCTGTCAGGGGTCAGCTTGTAGGGGCGAGGCGCAGTAGGCGCATGGGCGACGAGATATAGGATGAAGTCCGTGAAAGAAGAGTAGATGTAATTGAGTCCTAGAGACAGACAGTCAGGCGCACGAGAAGAGCAAACAGTGAGTGATGTGCTTTGTCTTTTCTCCGGCTTTTTTCGATTGGTCTCTCACGTTTGGTGGGCGGATCAGATTGGTAGACGGAGAGGGTGGCAATCTCATCCGTGAGGGTTCCTTTCAGCGCAGCTGCCGCATCCTTGACCTACATAACGCGACACATCCATCACCTCGTCGCCACCATGTTGACCTTTTCTCACCTTGACGTTTGCGCTGTGGATAAGAGGAAAGAGCACTGAATCCTTTCCCCCAGCGCCAAGCAGCTGGTGGAGCGCCTTTCTCTGCTGGCCATCGAGTCGCTCGGCGAGCGCCGCCAAGGTCGCCATGTCGTCCAGCACGCGAGCCTCCTCCTGCGGACAGACAGAGGACAGCAGCTGTCAGATGGCACGAGTGCGACGGACGCACTTGTACGTACCTCATTGCAGCTCGGACAGTAGGGTGAGAGAATGTCGGCATTGCCAATGAGGGATCCCTTGAACTCCAGTATTCGCATCGACAGCTGCTCCGGTGGCAAGGCAGCCAACGCTCGGACCTAACACAATTGTCCGAGCAATCAAGCACACTGATTGACGCGTCTGATCTGTGCGCCGTGCGTGTATTCTTTGGCTGGCTACAGCGTCATATTACCTGACGGCCAAGGCACCCCATCACAGTCCCTTTGGCGGCGTCGGCAAGGTGTTCACTTCCCTTCTTCATGGCCGCCGCCGCCCTTGCTGCGCCGCTGAAGGGAAGGTGCGCTGGCATCAGCGCCTCGATGGGGAGGAAAGTCAGCAGCTGCCGGCCCGGCCCAACCCACTCTCCCAAATCGTCCTGGCCGTTGGTGGTACGCTGCAGATGCAGGCAGAGGCCCGGCACCAATCTGTGGATGAGAAGGGAGAGCTGGCGGACTGCCGGTGGCCGAGAGTCAAACAGTGCCCGACTGCCGACTTGTCGCAGGTCAGCCGGTGCGACGATAATGGGTAGAGAGGGAATGATGCGGCTGTTCTTGAGGTAATAGATGAGCTGAACAGTCCGCTCCCAGCTGCCGCTCCCCTCAATGATGTGCAGCAGACGCAACAGATACTCCGCACGGCCCATCGGCATCTCTGACTTGATTCCCCTCACCAAGTTGCTGACTAGTGGCAGGACTATAAGTGCCGCATTGTAATAAACAAAGAAGGACGCGAAAAGCGACACACAGCGGTCAACCGCGCCGCTGCGGTCACCGCTGAAGATCCCCCTGACGTGGTCGGCCAGCGATTCCTTCCAATTGACCATCCTTATCGCCACCACCAACACCAGACAGCCCACACGGCCGCAGACAAACCGTCCAGCCGCGCTAGCATTTTGGAGGGCAAACACCGTGTCCATAACGGAGCCGCCCGGAAGCATCCACCAGCCACCAATCACGACCCCACTCGCCAACAGAAATCGAGACCAAGAAGCGAGCCACTCGCACGACCACCCGCCCGTGAGCTCCCTGCACGTGGCGGCCGCCACAGGGCGGAGGTCGAGAAGCACCACAGCTACCAAGACGATGAGTGGGAACAACTTGGCAAGACCCGCCGACAGGCCGCTGCAGACGGCCGTGGCGAAGTGCAGCAGGAACGTCAGGGTCGTCGTGGGGGGCTTCTTGTAGGCCAGCACCCCGCTGAGTCCCTGGTTGTGGATGGCATCGTCGAGGTGGCGCGTCAGGTAGCACTCGCTGATGAGATGGCAGCCGCCGCATTTTGATGTAGCCCGCAAAACACCGCAGTTGGCGGCCGACAGATTACCCTTGAGCTCCCGACCGACATCATCAGGCAGACGGCTCAGATGAGGCTCGATTGCGGTCATCGCCCTGGAATCCGCCGGGCCGGGCCGCTGATCAATCTGACTCTCACACGGTAGATGACGCTTATATCATGGCTGATGTGCTGACGCCTCACCTTCTCC